CCTTCTTGAACTGCCAAATAGCAATATGAGAGAAGTTGCGCTTCAGAAAGTGTCTTTAAAACCAATAATAATAATTTTTCTGCTATGACCCCCACATTTATGGGCTCATTACTTATTGGATACTTCCTCTTAATGATCTAAGTTAGCAGATCTTTTGCATTTGGACAAGCTATAAAATTTTAAAGGTAATCTAAAGGGAAAAAATTTAAAAACTCAGAGTGTCAGTATAAGTAATTTGCAGATTAGGTGCTTTGTCTCATATCCATATTGAAAATCCATGTGTAAACTTTTCCCCACATTTTTATTAGTGTATACTGGTTATATAGATTAATGAATTTCATTTCAGCAATTTGCCTATGCAAGTAACATACTTTCACCAGTCTCCCACCCATCATCTCCCTGTCCCAATTTACCTTCTAGTTCCACATTTTTGGGAGGTGGCAAATGTGTTTAATGTATTTTGACAATGTTAATGCTCACCCACACACCCTATTTCTTCCCCTTTCTTCCTTTCCTCTTGTCTAACAATAGTTTCCCTTCAACATTCTTGTTGTATATTTTTAGGTTGCACTTTTACTTAGCTGTACATTGAAGGAGAACTGATTTTTCACAAAATTTTAGTTCTCAGAACCTAAATAATTCCATGAAATAAATCAAGTCCTAATATCAGGTAACCACATGATATTAGCAAAAAAGCATGTCTTTTAAAGATATTCTTCTCTACTACTGAGAGCTGGACAACTCCATCAAGCATTAAGTTCACAAGTAGTTGCTGTAACCAGAGTGAGCCTGAGACTGTGGGAAATACATCTTATTGAAGTGAACTAGTTTAATGAAGGGCAGATTGGTTGTCACTGCTTAATTTCTTATTGCTCCCAGTGACTTTTATCCACATACATTTGAATTCATCATGGATCCAATTCCATAAAATGTTCATAAAACTCTGCAGTTTTGCTCCAGACATTCTTCATTTTCAAAGAACTTGTACCACATAAGCTTTATCAAAGCGAATACTTTTCGTTTGTTTTGTTTTTGTGAGACAGGGTCTCACTATGTGGTTCAGGGTGGCCTTCAACTCACAAAGTAGCCAGGTCGGCCTCAAACTCGTAGTGATCATCCTGTCTCAGCCTTACAAACGCTAGGATTACAGGCATGTGCTACCACGCCCAGGCGCAGCATATACATTTAAATATCCTTATAATGTATAGTGAATCCTTTGTGTGTTTAGCCTTAAATGTTTTATTTACAGTGAGCCCCTATCATATAATAGGTCTTGAATCCAAATTTAGCTTATTAAGCAAGCCAAAATTATCGTTGACTACTGCCAAAATCAGACTTAAATTAACAGACCATAGAGTTTAGCACAGAAACTAACAATGCTCTTTTCTTCCTCTTGAATTTTTGACTATTATTTCCCTTTTCCTGTGAAAAGCTAAAGCATATTTATAGATTGGGAAAGAAAGACACTACATAGGGATAAATAATGGAATCTCTTTTTCCTGCTGCCACCTCTGGTTTGAAAGTGAGCATGACAGAATACTGCCATATATGTGCTGCTGACCCCTGTGTCTCTTCTTTTTTTAATTTTTTAAAAAGAGAATGAAAAGAACAATAAAAATGACACAGAATTTCAAAACAAGATGATAGGAGATTAACAACGGTTATTATATTGCATACTGTTATCTTCAAAGTAGTTGCTCAGATTACCAGATATAGGCATGTAAGATTGACCAAACAGTATAAACACTAACTGCTCCTTTCTTCTTTCAACTGCACATGTGTGAAATAGAAATGTACACAATTGGGTATGCCAGTTTTTTACTTGCATTAACAAAATTATATATTCAGATATATAGAGACAGGCAAAAAGAAGACAACACAGTACTCTAGGGAGAGACTGGTGTGCGCAAAATCTTGTGAAAGGAGGGAGAGTGGCAGATATGAAATCTAACGGGAAAAGAGATCAGAAAATAAGAAACAGAAATTAACGTGATCCACTCACTCACCCAAGGGCATCACAGAGTGAAAACAGCATCCTAAAACTTTTGTACTTCCGAGTACAAATCCCCACTTCTCTACTTTCATCATACCACGCTGACAAGGATTTACTTGGCAAACAGTGAACTTAAGTGGAAGCCTTTTTCCGTCATTTCATTATGTTACTTCACTTTGCCCCATGGACTGTGGAGCCTTGATTAAATGAGCCTTTGTGAATGTATAATTCATAATGTGCAGAAACCTGTAATTGATGTCATTCTACTCCTTTGGAACATGTCCAAATTTATATCATAAATCTATTGCAAATTATTGAAATTTTTTAATTTTATGGGATTTTTCCTAAATAAATGATTTCTGAAAAATGAATGACTGAATAGTGAATATATAGTATAGTACCTTGGACAGCTGGCCAGATTGGTTTAAATTGATGAGTTAATTTTCCATAACCTAAACCACTCCGCCTTCCTTAAACCTATGGCACTATGTACCTCGGCAGGCAACTTCTCCACTTACTGCTTCTTTGCTCATATTTTGCTGTTGTTTTTTTTTTTTTTTTAAAGTAAGGCATGTTTCTATGAACACACTGGAGAAAAGGCAAGCAGACTAGGTATTAATGTGCATGCAGCAATGAATACAGAATCGGAGGACAAGAGCTGTTACATAATTCCCTTCTCATGCAACAAAAAACCGATTTACTTAATTGCTTGTGCTTAAGGGCAATGTCATCTTGTAAGACTTACTGTTTTACACTGATGGGAGAATATTAAGTTACTAATGGCATCAACCAATAAAAAAAATTCATAGGCCATGAACCAGCACATGAAAGAGAGAACAGAACTGGTAAGTGATGGCACTAATTGATGAAATTTCACGTTTCAGACACTTGACTCTTTATAGAGATGACTTTATGCCTCTGTACAACCATCAGGGCTGCGTAAATGAGGAAAGTTAAATTATATTATTAACTCAAATGTTCTTAAGTACAATTTCCTCTTACAGAAAGCAGCAATCTAGTTCAACCTCTGAGCATTTCCTTGTGGCTGTGTGATGCATATTACAATCAAAGGACTTTGGAGTTTTAGTTCTTCTGTGTTTAGCATGAACTAAGAAGGAGAGCCTTGTGTTGGATAAAATATTGCCAACATAGGTGAAGTCCAGCTGATAACCACAAACGTAATAATCTACCTTACATGTAAAGATAATTAATATTTTAAACTGAATATCTAAACTTTAAAGTTAAGAGAAGACTGTAGTTAAGGGAAGAGCCTTTTCTAAGTTGTTTTTAGGGTCTTCATCCAAGTTACATGTTAGGCTATTATTCTTGTCAAGCCTCTTACCAAAGGAAGGAAAAACTGCAAGAGATCTGGGTTGTGGAGTGCAGAGACAGGTGAGAAACTTGATGCATGCCTTTTCTATCGTGATGGAAGAAACTAGCAACAACGGAAGAGTGGATACTTAAAGCAATGGTAAAAGAAATGCAAAGGGGTTGTAGCCACTGCTAGTGGTTTTCAAAGCCTTGAATCAGTCCAAAAACTTAGAAAACTGGTATTTGAAATTTTACTTAATTACAGATAGATCAATAACTTCTCCATTTTCTACTTCCTTTTAAATCTTTTGCTTTTTCCTATGTTAGTTTCTTGGGACAGCCACACAAAAGCATCACAAATCCAGTGGTTTGGAACAACAGACATGTATCCTTTCGTAGCTCTGGATGCCAGAAGTGGAAATCAAGGAGCTGGTGGAACCATATGTATTTCAGACTCCGTAGGCGTGGGTTCCTCCTCGCCTCCTCCACTTTCTGGGGACCCCTTCATTCCTTGGCACATTGCCTCCCATCTCTGCTTCCACCACCACAAGGCCTTATCTGGCTCTGTATCATCACGTGGTGTCTCTTCTCTGTGCATCTGGATCCAAACTGCCATCTTTGTATAAATATACTGCTATGTTGGATTGGGGTCCACCCTACGCTAGGAGAGACAATCCCATCTTAACTTAATTCATTACTTCTGCAGTAACCTTATTTCCAAATAAGGTCACACTGAGGTGCTGGGCACAAGTACTTGAACATATCTTCTGAGATATGTTCCCAAATCTACCCCCAGTAGCAGCCTTTTCAGTTGTACATAATCCTAATATGTTAATATACTTATGGATACTTAAACACGCTTAATAACAAATCTTGTCAAATTAATATAGTTGAATTGACCATTATGTGTTTTACTGATGTCTACATGTTAATCCCTAAGGACAAAACCCAGCTTTGACACAGTTTCAAACAGAATGAAGCTATCACTGAGTCAAAGCAGCATGTATGCAAAGGAGGCTGGGCTTGCTCATCTGAATTCACAGATAAGCAACCAGCTGAGGCTCTCTGTCAGACTCAGTGACTGGCCAACATCAAGTGACTGCTTAACTATTCTCCAAATGTTAACTATCCCTTGTAACCACTTTTTTTTTTTTCCCTGAAACAGACCCACCACAAACCAGGAAATGCAATAGGTTATGGGAAAGCATTTGTATTGAAGAGACACACAGATTTAAGCTGAAAGTTCCACCACTATTAGCTGAGTGACCCTGAGAAAGTATTATACATTTCAAGTCTTCAAATTGTAAACCTATAAAAGGATGGGTCTTATGGCTAACGACCAGTGCAACTGCAAAAGTACTTAGTAAATATAACTTAGCTCCAACTTCATCAGAAAGATGACATTCTGAGATTAAACAATTGCATACAAATGGGATACAACAAAATTGTCATGCAGCATAACATTTAATGTAAATGCAATATGCACCAACTTTAATTAAAATTACACATTGAAGTAAATGTGCTCAATTTATGGTAATTACAAAAATAAAATTAAACCAGAACAGAATTGAGAAATAAGATTCTCTCATTTAGAAACATCTCTAGAGTAGTGCCAATATTCCAGGTGTTTTTTCAGAGGCAACTTGTCATAGACACATACAGTATAAAAAAATATGAGGAAAGAGCCACAACTTACCCCACCAACTTTCTCAAAGTGAGATCCATCTTTCTTAAAATCTGTGAGGGCCCCATTGAAATACCAGGTAAATATAATGTCTAACAAAGGGTCATGTTGCACCTGGCAGGGCAGAATGACACTTTCGCCCACCGAGACATCCATATTAGAAGGGGCCAAAGTTATTCTCGTAGGTTCTATTAGGAAAACAATTTGTAAGTAAAATGTTAGCATTTTTAACATAATGAAAACAATTTGTACAGGTAAAGTTGTCGGCTGACGTACAGTGTGTATGTTTGCATATGTATAGGTATACACGTATGTCTGTGTAATTGAAAGTCTTCAAGATTAAAATATACTTATTTTCAGGCAAGGCTATACTATATTTTACTGGATCCACAAATCTGTGTTAAGAAATTAGCTTATTTGAGTTCACAAGATATTCAAGTTTAGAAATTAAAGTCATGTGCAAACAGTTATAATAATACTGAGAGAATTAATTTCAACTTAGTTTCATTATTCTGTACAGCGTAGGGGTAGAAACAGAAGCTACTGTTTTTTTGCCAAATTTCAGTGAGTGGGAATAGTACAACCATCAAAGTTTAAATATACTCCAATCTTTCATGTTTGCATGGATTGAAAAACAATGTAAAAGATACTCTGAATAGGAACAACAAGAGGGTCACTAGTTAAACAGTTAATTAACACATTTGTCCCAAAGCAAATGTCCACATGTGCATCTTTTTCTGGCTATCATCACAAACCTTCCATCTCTTGTGAATTCTACTTCCCCTGACTTCACTTTCCCATTCTTCTTTCCCATGTCTTAGCCTCACATGGCATCTTCAAAGGAGTCATTTAGAGATATGGTTTGTAAATACTTCTTTCAAGTTATCTGTGCAACCCAGTGCAGTCAGGCTTTTGTCCCCCTGACCCACCTGTCCTCACCAAGGCCCCTGCTGCAATACCCAGTGTGAATTTTTGGTCTCCTATTACTTGATTTCTCAGCTGTATCTGCTGCACTTGATCGCTGTCTTCACCACTGTGTACTTTTATCTCTTGGTTTCTGTGATCTCAGTTTTCTTTCACCTGCTGTGAACATTTTCATGTCTATCTTTATGACAAATTCTCTACTTTTGTTCCCACATTTCTCAGCACAGAATGTGTGTTCTGTCCTGTTTTTATTTTTTAAATTCCCTGTCTTCATGTACTCTTTTGGAGGCCTGAGCTGGTCTCTGGGCTTTGGATACCCATCTATAAGCCAGCGACTAACCTATGTATACTTCAGTTCTGTCCTTGGCTGTTCTCCCCATATCCAAGTTCTTATATCCAGTACCTACTCAGCATCTCCACAGGGATGTCCATCATCATTTCTTTCTTTAGGGTACACAGTAGGATGAACTTCCTAACAATCTGAATTCAAGCATAGCCCAGAGCTATGCCCTGGCTGATGAAGCAGGAGTTACATGTGGCTCTGAAAGGCTGAATTCTAGAACTAGTGGGTAACTCCATGCACTGTCTTTACCCTTCTGTGGTAATAGGCAATGTGCCAATGGTGGAGGCAATAGATCCCCTTATCCCTAGGAAGAGAGCACAGCTGACTCTCCACGGACTTGTCCTAGGAGCAAAAAGTGAACTTCTGCTGTTTGAATCCACTGAGATCTTGACAAATCCACAATCTGCTTCACACAGAGTCATCTCATAGTCAATGCACCTAAGTAAAGCCATGGTCTTCCTCCTCTCCAATGCTGTCCGACCTGTGCCTGTGCCATCTCAACTGCTGTGACTGTCATTCTTCCTGTTATTCACTCTGCAGGAATTCTGGAATCCTCTCTTACTCTGAGCCTCACATCTAATTTCAGTCCCTCCTGCTGGCTCAGGTTATATCCAGAATCTGATTCCATCCCATCATCTCTGTGGCCACCAGCCTCATGTCGGTCATGACTACCTTCTTCCTGGTTTGCAGCAATGGCTCCTGGGAACTTCTCTGTCTCTATCCTTCCTTCTCACAGTCTTCTCAACAGAGCAGCTAGAGTCATCCGTTTAAAATGCCATTCCCATGACCTCATTTCTCTGCTAAAACCTGGCCCTTGGCTCCACTTTTCAATTCAGCTGAAAGCTGAAGTTTTAAAAAGGTCTTCACAGTACTTAAATAATTTTCCCTAGGAAATCTGATAGTTTTCACCTTCATCTCCCGGAAATCTTTGTCCCAATTTTCCTTCACTGAGTTCTATTCTGAACACTCTGTTTAATACTTTTTTTTCTTTCTAGCTTGGGTAGAATTTAAGATTCATGAGAGCAGTGCATTTTAGATGTTCTCACTGGCATAGTTCAAGTACTGGTCACATAAGCGATGCTCATTTTTTCTTGAATAAGACAAAAAATTGTATCCACAACTTTAAGCAATTCTTTTCATGAACTTGGACACCACCAAAAAAAGCCAACTACAATTTAAAGAAATCATTGTGCCTGAAAATATATGGCAAACAGAACAGCATAGAAAGAGCATAGTAACTAAGGCTTGTATCCACGCACACTGACCTGTGCTAAAGAAATATTAAGTAATATACCCTATAAAATAACAAGAAAAATACATGGTTTCTACTACCTGGTGCACTGCAGCTGGTGAAAAACCTGCATTCGATATACTTAACCAGGATAATATGTGGTGCAGTGCATCCCCCAGGAAAGCAGTCTGTGAGATACGCACCCACCTGTAACCACCAGGAGTGTTGTGCCATTGGCTTTGCCAAACTGGTTTTCTGCTGTGCAGGTGTAAGTTCCGGAGTCAGCTTTAGTCACATTGGCTATTTTCAGTCCTCCATCTTTCAGAAAAGAAATTCTAAAACCAATAGAAATTAGACCAATAAATATACAATGGTCATTCATTCGAAGTAAACTTTTTTTTTTTTTTTCCATAGAATGTGTTGTACTAAGCTATTTAAGTTGACTCACCAGTTCAGTTTAGGGAGAAAACATACTCTGTGTCCATGTGAATTTTGCATGATATTTTTAGGCAGCAGTATTACTTAAAATCATGCCTAATTTCGGTAATGACTTTATTAAATAAGTGTGAGGTGTTTTCCAAAAATGTATCTTGTGATAGATTACTCATGGGTTTGTCTTTTAAATTTGTATATAAAAAAGGGTAGGCATGACAACATTATTTTCCTAACTTTTAAAATAATATGGGAAAAACAAAACAACCTGCTTGTATCTCATTATGAACTAAAAAAGCCACAATTGACTCCATAAAAAAATCAAATTTTGCAGAAATAACAACAACAAAAACAAAGACATGTGCATGGCCAGCTGTGAACTATTGCAAAGTATCTGCACAGATCACTCAGCATTACTTCACGGCTTCTTAGCACATGGTTACCTAGACTTCTTAAAGCTTTAGCACCTACTATTTGATCAAGGACATATAAACAAGCACCTGCTACGTGACAGGCACTTGGGAAACGCTTGGGATTGTAGTGTGAGCAAACTTAGAACATCTCTACCACTTCAGAAAAAATATTCTAATAAGAGGCATGGATATTAAACAAGTAAAAATGAAAAGTTCAGCTTTGAAAAATAACCTGAAGGAGACCAAAGGTGTGATACAACAGAAAGTAATTGGCTTAGGAAGCATTTCCAGAACAACTGGCTTCAAAAAAGGTGAGTGTCAAAAATGTCATTACTAGTATGAGTTTATGTATCAAAATGTACAAATTATGCATTTTGTTATGTACTTATATGCATTCTTTACTAACCTTTGATGCACTTTCACTTGCATCCTGGCTACATTTTTTTGAGTAAAGGTCATGGAGGAAACAGTGCTAGCACACAGGGATCCTCATGTTTCTGGGTAAAGCTGTCCAGAAAGCTTTCTAGGTATGTGGTATTTTCTCACCATGTCAGGGTAGGCATAAACCAAAAGGGCTTGGGAACCATGACCTAGCCAGCTAAACAAAGAATAAGCACAGTACTTCAACTTGAGGAATTATATGGAATATTTAAACATCTAAGGGCTTCTCCTAGGAAACTTTAAGATATGTTTTATTTCGGATTCCTTTATGGACCATGACCATTTTGTGGGACAGAAATGCACATCCATTGTTTACCTAATGAGGTGATTAAGAACTTTATGAATAATCTCTTTGTGTTTTACCCTAGCAGAGAAGCAGAGAACATTTTTTTTTTTTTCTGGATTTGGTTTGTTTGTTTATTTGTGGTACTGGAGATTGAACCCAGGACTGTCATACTAACATATTGAACTGTACACCCAGTTGCTTTTAAAATAATTGTTATTTTGGATACAGGGTCTTATAAGTCATGAAGTTGCCCAGGCTAGGCTCAAACTTGTAATGTTCCTGTCTCAGCTTCCTGGAGTGCTGGGATTACAGGCATGTGCTACCACTTCCAGCTCAAAGATTTTCTTAATGAGCATGGAATAATAACTGAAAGTGGAATCCCCACAGAGAATTAAAAATATGGGGTCAAGAAGTTTTGAAAGGCATGGGAAGTGAACTCAAGGAAACATAAATGTGACTACCGAACCCTGTCCCCATCCCTCCACCTGCAGGACTTTTGCACAGACCATCTCTGTACCCCGTCCCATGGCATCACGCTGCCTGCAGGACACAGACTGCAGCCTAAGAGTGCTCTGCAGCCCTGCAGCAGGACCCTGACTTTTGCAGCTTCCTATGACATCGGGGTTTGGACCACTTGCCTTTCTCCCATCACGCAAGCCACTCCTCAATTGCTCACTTTCGCCTCAGGACTTTTCTAAAAATGATTCCCTTTAACTGATTGGCCGGTACTCACTCCCCAGCCATCAGGCACTTTCCAGAACCGGGGAGCTGGAGGAGGTCTCCTGTATTTGATTAAAACATTCTCTGTGTTGTTCATAACATAACATTTATATGCACTGAAACATGAAATTGCATCCTATAAACATGGACAATTGTTAAGCGTCAATTATGAAATCACCCATGCGGCTCCGCAAAGGGTCAATTACATGCAGTGTGCCTCTACTTCACTGACACCTTACTTCTTCATAGATGCTGACTCTCTATAGGCAGGAACAGTGCATGGCTTACTCGTGACTAAATTTCTAGATCCTTGCACAGTGCCTGGACTAAGCACACATTCAAAAATCATATTTGTTGAATGAACACGTGACTCTATGCTAGTGGTGGCAACATAAGACAAGCATGCCATGGGAAGCTCATCATTGAAGGCTCTAAAAGGTTCGCCACCATGGCACTACACCTTTAGTGAACCACTGTGGAAGATTTCAAGTTAGGAAAACCTGGTTGTAAGACACAGAAGAGTGACAAAAATAAGAAAATATATTCAAAACTGTTCAGAGGATTACGTGTATGCATACATATGTACACATATGCACATATACATATATTACACACATTTACTGATATGTATACACACACATTTTATATATATAGTCATTCTTCGCAATCCAGAAGGATTGGATTTGGGGCCTCTGAGTGAATACTGCAGATACTAAGTCTGTATATAAAGCGATGCAGTATCTGCACACAAACTCCACCGCTTAATTCATCCCTGGACTACTGCTACCTAATAGAATCAAATGTTATATAAATAGTTGCAGTACCCTTTTAAGGTATAAGAAATGTGTATATATTTGGAACAGTTTTACTTTTTAAAACATATTTATAATCTATGCTTCTATAATTTATTTTGGCATTTATATTATAAGAAGTTTTCTGAAACCCATCCTGGGACTGCGTCATAAAGCAGTTACTTTCTATTGTATCACCCTTCACACTGTTTCTCAAAACTCTGAATTTTTCATATTTACTTATTATTTTTTAAGAATATTATTTCTACAACAGTACAGACTTTCTATGGTGCTCACACTATAATCCCAGGGGCCTATCACATAGAAGGAACTCATTTATACTTCCTTAATCAAATAACAGATGCTAAAGCTTTAAGTAGTCCGACTATATATTCACAAGCCCTAAAGTAGAGTGAGTTGCACGGTCTTTACAATAGCTTTCAGCTGAATGTGTGAGAACTTTTGTTTGCCAGTAGAGAAAACACCGGGAAATGTAGCACTAACATTCAACATCCCTGATATACAGTACATTTACAGTTTTTTTCTCTTATCACAATCCAAAAGTAACAGAACATTAAAAAATGACTCCAGACTCTTGAAGTATAGACAGACTCCCTTTCTTTTAGCTTACTTCCCAAGAATATTTCGCATGAATGATTTTTATCATTCATGGAGTAAAACTTATTTCAGGTGCACACTTAGCATCAAGTCTGCAGCACAGAGAAGGTGCTGGGGTGAGCAGTCAGACGCTGAAAGAGGCAAATAGACTGGAATGAAAATTTACATCATCTTGTTAGATACATGGTGGCTCACCAGAGCCTGTGATTGAATACACGATGGTTGCCTCTCTGCCTGGAAGAGCAACAAGAATATTCACATTGGAACGTGAAAGGGATAACGAAGCTTCAAGGGTAGGCAGTAAAGAAGAAACAAATATTAACTATGGTGGGAAACAAACAAATACCAGGAAGATGCAGGTAAGAGGGGATGGGTTCCTTCTCAGCCTTCGGGGATGAAGTTGATACTGCTGAACAATATGAATGATCCCTCCTTTCGCTCATTAGTGCTTCTCACAACCAATTCGATTGTTAATTCCATAACTAGACTTTTAGGTCCTGACACCCAAAAAGAGTAACACTTAACCTCTGGCAGCACTCAGCAAATTTTAGCTATGAAGAGAAAATGAAGATTTTCTGGACATTGAAATATATAAAGACGGGAAGTTGGTAGATGTTATCAGAAAGTTGTAAAGGCTTGTAAACGAAGAGCTAAACTCATCTGTTCTGAGTTATAGAGCATAGACATAGTATTGGAAGCACCCGGAAGCTGGAATCTGCCAATTCTGAGATTAGTAATCCTTAAAACAAATTGGAAATACCTCTTCTTGACCGGATACATGTCAAGTTTAACTACAGAGCTTCAGATTTTGGTACCATAAAACAGAGACAGATATTTTCAGTTATTTTCTCAAGCTGTGAATTAGTATATTTCTACTAAAAATATGGAAATATTTGGAATAATGGAAAAATAAAAAATCTTTTGGTATGTTAGTTTCAGTACCTTTCATGAAGCAAACCTGGCTTCATGACCATGGTGAAATGAAGAATTTCAAAGGTAAGACCTAACATTTTAGGAATCACACAGTACTCCAAAACAAACATATTGACTTTGAAAGAATGCAAACTCTGTGTGTATCGTAAAATTTTGAGCTAATTGGATATTTTCTTCCTAAATTGGTTCTTCCAGTAAGTCCTAAGAGGCCCACAGGGCATTTCACACAACATAAAAATAAACAATATTCAGTAAATGGATGGAGTAATTGTTTCTCAACAGAAAACCTTCAATAACCCTGGCATCCCTACAGAGATTCAAAGTGAAATTTTTATACCACTTCACTATAAATGAAATTGCTTTCTAAGCTTTCTGGGAACAGGATTTTCTGCAAATAGATAGAGCTGAAAATGTAGATAACAATGAGTGGCTCTAGTCTTGGCACAGAAATGTTAAATGAAGATTTATGAGATTAACATTCAGAAACGTGGTACTCTAGTTTGCGTTGAGAAGTGTGCATTCTAAATCATTGTGGCATTTTAACTTGCTGATCAGCTTTATAATATACCTTTACACATACCTTTTTACTGCTCTTTCCTCTTGTAGTAAGAGGTTAATTATTTCACTTAGCTGTGCAGTCTATGGTTAGTTTGGAATAAGTCAACATAATTGCTCTAAAGCTGCTCTAATGGTCCATGCTG